TACCTTGTAATGTGTAGGAACTGTTTCAGAGTCTGTAGGATCTTGGAGCATGGTCACCATTAATTCTAAGGCCAGTTACTTAAGCACTCTGGGATGTAGGTTGTCAGTCCCTGGGGATTTATCACCCTTCAATCCCATCAATTTGGCCAGCAATTTTTTTTTTAAACTTCTTCCACCTCACCAATCTCTTTGTTCACCATCATTTCCAGTACATTTTTCATATCCTCCTGTGTGAAAACATAATTGAAGTATGAATTTAGTTTATCAGCCATTTCTTTATTTCCCATTATAAAGTCCCCTGTTTCTGACTGCAAGAGACTTGCATTAGTTTTCACCAAACTTCTTCTCTTTACATACTTGCAGAAGCTTTCACAGTCTGTTCTTCTGTACCCTGCAAGCTTACACTCATTCTCCAGTTTACCTTTCTCAGTGCATTCTTTAGTCCACTCTTGGTGACATCTGAACTGTTCCCAATCCTCGGGGCCATTGTTTCTTTTTCTTGCCAATTTTTATGCCTTGTATTTTTGCAATTAATACTATCTTCAACTTCTTTTGGAAGCCATGGTTTGGCCACTATTCTGTTTGCACTCTTGAGTCAGATTGGAATAAATATTTTTTGTAATTCACCCATTTGTCATTGGATGTTTGGCACTGCCTACGCACTCTCATTCCTTTCAGTAATATTTCCCAATCCATCATAGTCAACGCATGCCTCATACCACTGTAGTTTTCCTTATTAAGATTCAGGAAGCTAGTCCCAGAAATTCACTCATGTTATGATTGCTCATCCTAAGGGGTCTCTCAGAACTGCACTACAAATCATTCCAACAAAAAGCAATCTAAATGCAGTAAACATTCACTGATGCATAAACCCATTCAGTCTATATCCAGGTTTCTAAACTGTTTTTAGAAGGAATGGTGTCAGAAGTATTTGCGAGTCAATGATTAACATCACATGCATCAGTTAATTGCTGCTGAAATAACTCCACAGAGGCCAGTATTCAGTCACCAAGTCACCTTTTAATTATACTTGTTTAAGACATGACACTGACCGAGCCATCTCAGAGCTGGCTTCGAGAGTGAGCAGAAACCCTGATACAACCCTTTATGCCTTTCAGCCAGGACTATGTTTGGACCAGGTAAACAACCCCAATCAGGGAACTTCTATTCTGTGAGGTCCACCCAGCTGACCTTGTTGCACTCATTACAGCTGTGAAGCAGATATCCAAGCAACAAACATTGAAAATGATTAATCAGAATCCCATGGTTTCTTCACAAAACATTTAACCATTCTGTCAATTTCAGAACGTCCGTTGACGTTGCAGGTGGATCCCAGACTGCAGAGAGATGGTAATCCCATCACACTGAATTGTTGATGTACCCAGGATCATGTGTGTGGGAAAGGACAAATTGCCTTCTACAGAAATGACACCCTCCTGAACTCTAATTCCATGCCTCACAATATCTATCACATCCACCAAGTGACGCCAATGGATTCGGGATGGTATCGCTGTGCAATTTTCCAGAACCTTTCGACGTTCCTGTCCCTTTGGGTGGAAGTCACTGTCCAGAGTGAGTCAACCAAGGGGCCAGGGTGTGGTGAGGGGGTGGGGGGTGCGTTGGGGATGTGGGAGGAGGCTGACGCAGGATGGAAACCAAAGTTCACTAGCACTGACCTGGCCAAATGAAAATGGCGCCTTTTAGTTGATGTCTCGAAACCGGTCAGGACATTTTGCAAGAGTGCCAACTCAAAGGGGAGCAAATCGACATTGGCAATGGAAGAGAGGAGATGGATTGGCACTCTGGTCGCCATGGAGAATGCACCAGTCAATGACAATTGGTCAGAAATGCATCTGTCAGATTAATAGACGTCTTCACATGTCATCTTGTATTGCTGTTGGAATAGCCCCAGTTCTTCCATCCAAATTTAGCTGCAGGGAATGAGGAGGGTTAACTTCATGAGGAGGGTTTTGTAATTGGTAGATCACCAACATTCATCTCTGCTCTGATCCCGAGACCAGTTTCTTACCGAAGCTCATTTGGTTGTAAGTGGTCTCTTACTGTGTAATTTGGCCTGACTCTGTGCAAGTGTTTTGCATCTGCATGGTGAATGTAACCTGATTGTCCTCAGAGTGTGAAGACCATAAAATGTAAGAGTGCAAATAGGCTATTCAGCAAATCGAGTCCGCTCCGCTTTTCAATGGAACATGTCTGATCTGATCATCCTCAACTCCACTTTCCTGCCTTCACTCCACCTCTACCCCATCATGCTCAATTCCCCTTCACTTTATCACTTTATCCCGGCTTGAACAGCCCTCTGCGGTAAAAAAAAATTCCACAGATTTGCTCCCCTCAGAGAAAATGAATTCCTCCCCATCCCCAACTTCAATAGGCAGCCTCCCTTATTCTGAGACAATGCCCCTCTGGTCCTACACTCTCCCACACAAGGGGAAACATCTTCTCTCTGCATCTCCCCTGTCAGGTTCCTCTAAGAATTTTCAATAAGGTCACCTCTCATTCTTCTATACTCCAACGAGGACAAGCTGGACCTATTCAACCTCTCGCTCATCAGACAGGCTCTCCATATCCGGCATCAGCGGAGTGAACCATCTCTTGATTGGCTCCACTGCCCAGGCTATCTTTTTTCAGATATGGGGACCCAGAACTGTTCACAGTGATCCAAATTAGATAAATACTAGATAAAAGTGAAATGTTGCATTTTGGTAAGGGAAATCAGGGCAGGACTGAGACATTTAATGGTAGCATCCTGGGACCGAGCATGCAGGTTCATGCTTCCTTCAAAGTGGAGTCGCAGGTATTGAACAAAGTGTTTGGTACACTTGCCTTCATTGGTCAGTGCAATGTGTTGGGATTTCATGTTGCAGCTGTACAAAACATTGATCAAGCCATTTTTGGAATAGTGCATTCAATTCTGGCCTCCTTGCTAGGAACGATGTCCTTCAGAAAGGGTTTGGAAAAGATTTACAACAATGTTTCTGGGTTTGTAGGTTTTGAGGAAGAGGGAGAGGCTGAATAGGCTGGGACTATTTTCCCTCGAGCGCCAAAGGCTGATGTTTATAAAATTTTCAGGTTTATAAAATCATGAGGGGCATGGATAAGGTGAATAGCCAAGGTCTTTGCCACTATTGGGGTGTCCGTAACTGGATGGCATTGGTTTAAGGTGAGAGGGGACAAGTTTAAAAGGGACTGAAGAGATAACTCTTTTCACACAGAGGGTGGTGCATGCATGGAATGAGCTGACAGAGGAAGTGATAAAGACTGGTACAATGACAACATTTAAAAGAAATCTGAATGGGTACATGAATAGAAAAGGTTTAGAGGGATCTGATCCAAATGCTGGCAAAAAGGATTAGGTTAATTTTGGATTTCTGGTCAGTATGGATGAGTTGCACTGGAGGGTCTGTTTCCATGTTGTACTTCTGTACGACTCTACCCTTCAGCTCCATTCGCCACTCCTCAGATAGTGAAGCAATCTGTGTGCAAATGCAGCAAGACCTGGATAATATCCAGGCTTATGCTGATAAGTGGCAAGTAAAATGTGCACCACACAAATAAGAAAGAATCTAACCATAGTCTCTTGATGTTCAATTGTGTTACCATCACTGAATCCCCTCACTATTAGCATCCTGGGGTTACCATTGAGAGAGAATCTAACCATCGCCCCCTTGATGTTCAATGGTATTACTATCACTGAATCCCCCCACTATCAACATCCTGGGGGTTACCGCTGACCAAAAACTGAACTGGATCATTTCAATACTGTGGCTGCAAGAGCAGACCAGCGGCTAGGAATACTGCAGCGAGTAACTCACCTCCTGACTCCCGCCAAAGCCTGTCCACCATCGACAAGGCATAAGTCAGGAGTGTGATGCAATATTCCCCACTTGCCTGGATGAGTGCAACTCCAACAACACTCGAGAGGCTCGACACTATCCAGGACAAAGCAGCTGCCACTTGATTGGCACCACATCCACTCCCTCCACCATCGATGGTCAGTAGCAGCAGAGTGTACCATCTATGAGACTACTGCAAAATTCACCAAAGATCCTAAGACAGCACCTTCCAAACCCATGATCACTTCCATCTCGAAGGAAAGGGAGGCAGATATATGGGAAGACCACCCCCTGCACATTCCCCTCCAACCACTCACCATCCTGATTTAGAAATATATCGGCCATTCCTTCAGTGTCACTGTGTCAAAATCCTGGAATTCCCTTCCTCATGGCATTTGTGCCCAATCTATAGCACATGGACTGCAGTGGTTCAAGAAGACAGCTCACTATTACTTTCTCAAGGGGGAAACTAGGGACAAATTTGATTAATATAGGGCCCAGCCAGTCATGTCCATGTCTCAGAAGTGGAAAATAAAGTAAAGGCAGTAAGGGACAAAGAGTTCAAGTGAGGTTGACTTGAAATCAGTTAAGTATGTTAATTGTTGGTTGGAGTTTTCAGTCCTCGTAAGGTTGATCAACAGTTGTTATACTTATTATTGTAAGGTCAAAGAAAAGAAAATTATTATAAGTAAATGAATGTCACATATCATCAACCTAAATGAAGTAAATTAATGTATGGCAGCACAGTCAGTCATGTGGAATGCATGTTTTAATATGTGGGTAATCATGGATATTACAGGTGACCAGCACATGAGTCCTTCCATCATAGCATCACAGAAAATAAGAGCAGGAGTAGGGGACATTCGGCCCTTTGAAGCCTGCTTCACCATTCAATCCAATCATGGTTGATCATCCATCTCAGTGCTCTGGTTCCCCTTTCCCCCCATACCCTTTGATCCCTTTAGCCTTAAGAACTAGCCCTGATGAAAATGGGATCAGAAAAACAAGGTGCTTGTTTTTGACTGGTAAGCCATGATGGGTCAACGGGCCTGTTTCTGTACTGAAAACTCAGTAACTATATCTATTTCTGCACCTTCACCTGTCCTTGAAAAGTCATGTCCGTGTGCAGTATATGTTGGGATCATTACTTTTGCTGCTTGGGATTTAATTGATGCCTGAATTTTCTCTCTCCTCCCCAGTCCCCGTGAGCTGCCCATCCATCAGCTCAGATATGATGGGGTCCGCTGTGTCCATCGGTGACCACTTAACCATCCGGTGTACCTCCGAAAGTGGGACACTGCCTATAAACCTCATGCTATACCGTCACCACCACCACCTCCTGAGGAACACGACAGTCGTTGACTCCAGGACAGCCACTTTCCATGTCACCGTGCCACCTGAGGGGGAGGGCGCTGTGTACTCCTGCGGTGCTGCAAATGCCATTGCCCACGTTATCAACTGTAGTGAGCAGCTTGCCCTCATTGTGTCAGGTATGGATCAAAATGGAAGAAGCCATCAGTTGTAGATTGCCATGTTATCTCAGGGGACACTCAAACCTTTTACCCAGATATCCAAGGGGTGGCACAGTGCCTCAGTGGTTCGCACTGCTGCCTCACAGTGCCAAAGTCCTGGGTTCGAATCCAACCTGGGGTGACTGTCTGTCTTGAGTTTGATATTCTCCCTGTGTCTGTGGGGTTTCTGCCAGGTGCTCTGGTTTCCTCCCACAGCCCAAAGATGTGCAGGTTAAGTGGACTGGCCATGCTAAATTGCCCATAGTGTTCAGGGGTATGTTGGTTAAGTGCATTAGCCACAGGAAATGCAGCGTTATAGGGCTGGGGTAGGGGAATGCGGATGGATCTGGGTGGGATGCTTTGACACTGTAGGGCTTCTATGATATCCTGTGGACCAAAGGTGGGGAACTGACTCAGTACCTAAATAAATAAACCCTTCTTTACTTCACCCTTAAGATACCAGCACTCGATAAAAAGAATGCATTCACTTCTCGGCTCATCTAACAACTTCAGCTTTAACTCACTTCATTTAACTTCACTTTGTTTGATTTAATTCACATTTAACCCTAACTATTCATTTGGCTTGAATCGAACACTAGTTCCGTTTAAGTGAAGTGGTCAAATTTGCTCTTAGTGTAGATCTTGCCTCGTGATTCTCTGTCCTCTCCGAAGATCACTTCAGGGCACATACTTTGCAAATGTTGGTCTCCAGAGGTCCCCCTGAGAAATCCTTTGTTCTGCTCACTTTATCTCAAAGTTCCTTCCAGAAACATCTCTGGATCTCAGCCAATGAATTAACCAAACCCTGATCACATTGCTTCATCCCAGCCAGCAATGTTTTACTGAGTCACAGAATCATAGAGCACGGAAACAGGCCCTTAGGCCCAACTCATCCATGCTGGCCAGTTTCCCAAACTAAACTAGTCCTGTTTGCCTGTATTTGGCCTTTCTCCCTCAAAGCCTGTCCTATTCATGTACCTATTGAAACATTTTTTAATTGTTATAACTGTACCTGCACTTACCAGTTCCTCTGGTAATCCATTCTATACACGAATCACCCTCTGTGTCAAAAAGTTGTCCCTCAGGTCCCTTTTAAATCTTTCCCCTCTCAGCTTAAACCTGTGCCCCGTAGTTTAGGACTCCCCTACCCTGGGGTAAAGATCTTTCTTTTTCACCCTATCTGTAATCCTCATATTGGGTCACTCCTCCACCTCCTATGCTCCACAGAAGACAGTCTCGCTTATGCAGCCTCTCCTTGCAATTCAAACCCTCCAGCTTCAGTAATGTCCATGTAAATCTTTTCTGCATCCTTTCCATTTTAATAATATTCTTCCTATAGGAGGGCAGCGAGAATTGTATACAGTAATCCAAAAGTGGCCTCATCAATGTCCTGTACAATCACAACATGATGTCTCAACTCTATAATCAGTGGTCTGAGCAATGATTAAAAATTAAACTCCCAATGTTAAATAGCTATATTCCATGTTCTGTGTAAGGTACTATGGTCTATCTTGGTGACCACCTGACACTTGCCTTATTTGGTCAACACAGGAAACTGCAGGCCCTGTCCCCGTTCCCCCTGTTTCGTTCTTGTTCCTTTTATGAGTGGGAACAGTTTCTCCCTATCGACTCTGTCCAGTTCCCCCCGTCTCATGATTCTGAAAATCTCTAACAATTCGCAACTTCCTTGCTCAATTCTCATCACTGAAGTTTCTCAGGCCTGGAACCATTCATGTAAACTGCTCCTGCACTCTATCTCTCTCTGTAATGCAGTCACATCTTTCCTATAATGTGGTGCCCACAACTATACACAATACTGCAGCTGAGGTCTGACAAGTGTCTTGGACAACTTCATTTCCCTGCTGTCTGATTTTATGCCCTTTTTCATAAAGTCAAGGACACTGAGCTTTATTAATCGCTCTCCCTCTGTCCTGCCACTTTAATGATCAGTGCAGATATACCCCCAGCTCCCTCTGCTCCTCCACCCCCCTTTTCAGTTGTACTCCCCTATTTTATATTGTCTTTCAACATTCTTTCCACCAAAGTGCATCACCTCACACTGCATGGAACTGGATCTGCCACCAATCTGCCCACTCCACCAACCTGTCAATGTCCTCTCGGAGTTTCACACTGTCTTCCTCACGTTTACAATTCTCCCATGTTTTGTGTCATTTGCAAACTTGGAAGTAGCCCCCCAGTACAGCAAGATCCAGTTCGTTAACGCATATTGGGTGAAGTAAGAGCCCTAAAGCCATTCCCTGGGGAGTTCCACTAGAAACTTTTCTCCA